ACTGACATCCTGTATCTCTGAACCACGCCCTGCTGGGGAGCTTGAGTATGTGGATTCAGGGCCCTGGTGTCTGCCCAAGCGATGTGATGTGACAAGCCGCAGGACCAGTCGGTCGCCTTCCCAGCTGCTCAGCACACATGCTCCACCCTGCTCTGTGGGCCGGCTATGAGGCAATCTTTGCTTTTCCCGTCACAACTGGTCAACACCCACAGGCCTGTGCGAAGTGAGGTGGTTCCACAGACTCCAGGGGAGCGCGGCCAGCCCAGAGGCAGAGGCTGGCGGCCGCTGAGACAGCAGGAAGTGAGCTCAGGTGCGAGTCAGTCACACCTGAACCCACAGGCTTCAGCTCCGCCCGGGCCTCAGGGCTCTGGGCCACACAGGATGTGGACTTCTCAGGGCGGGAAGTCACCTTCCATCCACCCTTCCTTTTCTCAGCTTCAGTTCTGAGCCTCTGCTCCCTGAGTGTGTGCACACTCATATGCACACATGTACTGCAAGAACACGCACGTCATGCATACTCCCAGGTGTACGTGCACGTGACACTCCCACACATGCACATGCAAAAGCACACGCGTATATACACCTATACACGTGTATACACATGAAGACACGTGGCTCTAACACGCTCATCTCCTCTTCTCTGACTTCTAAAAATAGTCTAATACAACCCTCCCTTCCACATAATTCCTAACAGCCCCTTGATCATTCTTTCCTTCTCTTCAAATTCTCCATCGTTCCCATGTCCACATGAACATGTAGAAGAAACTGCCTGTGAAGACAGTCAACACGTTGATCTCTAAGAGACTGGTCATCTACAACCTTCTCTCCGCCACCCGTGAGAAAAAATGGGAAAACAGACTCCCACGCGTGTCCGAGGGCCTCAGAGGGAAACGGCGCTTTGAGGGCAGCCCGCCCGTCACTCACCTCCAAGACTTTGCCTGTGATGAACTGGTGGCAGGCTTCACACTTCACCCCGAAGAGCCCCTGGTAGTCCTTTTCGCAGTACGGAGCGCCGTCCCTGCAAGAGAGAGAGTGCTTAGCGCCCGAGAGGAGGCCCAGGCAGGGGAGGCCCAGAACCACGCTGCTCTGGGGCCTGGGACAGATGGTGGGAGACTGTTTCTCTCCTGCCCAGTGTTCACGTGCCTGGAGCTCAGACACGAGCAGAACCCACGAGACCAAGCGATTCAGAGACAGAACTGTGGTCCTGGGCCACACAGAAACCACGGCCACGTCACCGAGTGCTCCCCAGCACCCGTCGCTCGAGGGTCTGAGGCTCACTAGCCAAGCCCTGGCATCGTTTTCGACCACCGCCAGCCAGATGGGCTTCAGATGTGGTCTCAGCGCTCCCCTCTCTGGAGGCCCTGACCTGTCTCCCCACCCCACTCCTCATGCTCACACACAGAGCCTCGGCCTCCAGGAGGCCCGCGGGGCCCAGGCCTTCTTGTCCAGCCCCCATAACCGCCGTGGCTTCCTCAGTGCGCAGTGAGGATGGCACTGCACGGCCTGTGGCCGAGTTCAAAGGCACCGCTCTGAATGGCCCCGTGGCCCACGGCGCGCAGCCCTCGGTGTGCGTTTAAGAGCGAGCATCTTCCTCTTCTCACTTCAGCTCTGCGTCAGAGGCACCTCTGGGGGGTTCCCACAGGTCAGCCCAGACCTACAGGGTTAGGTTTTTGGAAGGCGGGGCCCAAACTACTTTTTGTTTGTTTTGCTATATTCTTAATTCATTTGGTATTTTTTGAATAGCTGATATACTTGCCCGGTTGGAAGACATTTTTTTAAGCATAGAAAAGGTATATAGGGGAAATTTTCCCCTCATTGCCACTGTCTCCCCCAACCCCAACCCCGTGCCCAGTCTTTCTTTCTTAACTCAGAAGGTAATCATTGTAACTGAACTAGTTTCTCCAGCTGCATAAACATAAAACAAACAGAAACCCTACTTCATCTGCTGTAGCTGTTATCCACACCAGCCTAACACGAACCCGTTCTGAGGAGCTATTGTGGGCATTGGTCCTAATGGGCTTAGTGCCTAGACCAGGGGTGGGCAAACTTTTTGACTCGAGGGCCACAATGGGTTCTTAAACTGGACCGGAGGGCCGGAACAAAAGCATGGATGGAGTGTTTGTGTGAACTAATATAAATTCAAAGTAAACATCATTACATAAAAGGGTACGGTCTTTTTTTTTTTTAGTTTTATTCATTTCAAACGGGCCGGATCCGGCCCGCGGGCCGTAGTTTGCCCACGGCTGGCCTAGACCCTGTGTGGGTTTTGGGGGAAGTCTGGGGCATCTACAAATACATTCAAGAACTGGAAGGAGGACAAAGGTTTGTTAATGCCAAATTAGGGGGTGGGGGGCTAGTGAAGGTAAAATTACTGAATGCTTCATTGGTTATAACATATTAAATCGGCTTCGTTCATTGTTAAATCAGGCAATGCTTAACATCTCATTACATTTATAGGAGGCAAACTATGGCAAATGCAGAGGAATAAAATTCCTTGCACCAGCTTTACAGCCAAAAGTTCCTGTGGATTGTGGGGTGTACATGTCTGTCATTATGTCCTGCAGGTCGGGGTGGGGCCCCCGGAGCAGAAGCGAGAGGGCCCCCCAGGTCCAGCCTCACTTACTTGCTGATGTACTCCCCGGTGAGGACCTTCGAGCAGGACTTGCATTTAAAGCACCCCAAGTGCCACTGCTTTTCCAGCGCCAGCAGCGCCTGCCCGTTCTTGATGTCCCTTCCGCAGCCGGCACAGTCTGGAAGAAAGAGCAGCCGGATGTTACTCCCTGCAGCCAGGTGTGCTAAATGCCCGCACTCGGCCAGCTCTGAACCCGGTGTGCCCATCACACAATAAATATTTGCTTAAGCACCGATTCACTCTGCGCTCGCCCTGCACAGTCTGTCTCACGGGCCCCATCCTCACGCAGCGTGGACGCTCCATGAACCACGGAGGACCCAGGGGATGGATGTCCTCCATCCTGTATTTCCTCGGAGGTTCTTTAAGTCCCCTCTGAGCTCCTGCTGGCCCAGAGACGACTCAATTGCAGGGTCCAGGCTGTGACGGGGAACGCTCTCGTGGGCCTGCAGTCACTGAGGACGCGTGGGAGCCGCAAAGCCCCCAGGCTGCATGCCCCGCTTAGCACCATCACGTGGTTCCCAGAATGCGCTCAGAAGTCTCACTTCTGTAAACAGGACTCTTCTGCCTTGTCAACCTAAACCGGACCCGCCACGCTTTGTCATCATCAATTAAACGGCTCTTAACTCCTCAGCTTTCAATTCTCCCGGGCAGGCTCCGTGAAGCAGATCACAGAGAGAGTTCCTTCATGGTGAAGAGCATAGGCCCCGCAATGAGCCGGTTCTGCGCCCAGCTCAGTGCCTTGTTGGCTAGTTCCGTGATCTGGGCTGGTTCTCCCGCTTTCTTTTCTTTTTTTTTTAAAATATATTTTTATTGATTTCAGAGAGGAAGGGAGAGGGAGAGAGAGATAGAAAAATCAATGATGAGAGAGAATCATTGATCAGCTGTCTCCTGCATGCCGCCCACTGGGGATCGAACCTGCACCTGGGCATCTGCCCTGACGGAGAATCGAACCGTGACCTCCTGGTTCATAGGTTGACACTTAACCACTGAGCCACACCGGCCGGGCTTTGCCGCTTTCTAAGCCTGGGTTTGCTCCGGCAGAAGCCGGGATGTGGTTAGCGCTTTGCTCCAGCCTTCGAGGAGGATGTGTCCCGTGATGGACTCAGCACAGGGTTGGCATGCAGGAAGCGGCTCTCTAAACATTTGCTATTAGTGTCATTTCCACGATTATCCTGGTTATTAAATCATTTTCAGAGAAGCTGAGTCTTTAAAAGAACCCAGAAGAATGTAAATTGGTGTATCCTTTTTAGAAGCAACTTAAAGATCTCCAGACATTTAACACCAATGTACCCAAGGAAGTGACAGAAAGCGCTGTGGGCAGGCTGGCCGAGATGTCCCCATGAGAGTAGGAACAGCACCGCGGAATAAAGCCATGTCCAGGCAAGGCCACAGGTGCACAGACGGCTAAACACCCCCTCTCCTGACACATCGCGACGGCTGCTCATTTACTAAGGACACTCCTAACCACTCCACTTCTCTCCTCCCAGAAAAAGAAGACACCCAGTCACTGCCCTGCTCCTGCTTCTTGACAACACACCCCCAGAGCTGCTCCCGCTCCCCGAATCCTCCCTAAGTTACCCAGCACAAGCCCAAATCCTAGAAAAGGCTCCAAACCCGCCCCCGGGTGTTGTCTCCCTGGCTGTAGTTTAAGTAAACCTGCTTCCCTCCCTTCCTTCCTTCCTCCCTCCCTCCCCCCCCCCCTTCCTTTTTTTTTTTTTTTGACTACAGATGTGTAGAATTTCTAATGATCTCTGGTCAGTAGGTAATAATGTGCCTTTAAACTCAGCAATTTCATGTCTAAGATTTCATTCTACAAATAAATTTGCAAAAGTGTATGTGTGTGTTCCCTGAAGAATACATAGGCATTCCCCAAAGCATTTTTGTAAGAACAAAACTGAAAATAGCCTAAATGGACATTAATGAGGGACCAGGAAATTAATTATAATATAGTCAATAATGGAATACTGTGTGCTGTTAAAAAGAATGAGGTAGATTTGTTGTGGGCATGGAAAGATATCCAAAATTGAATAAGTAAACAAATCAAGCTGAAGAACAGTATGCATAGCATGAGCTCATTAATAGAAAAATAGTAAAAAAAAAAAAAGTATGCGTATATTTGCACACATGCTTGTATATGAACAGAACAATTCTTTAAAAGCACATAAGAAATCATAAAAGTCCTCAGTGATGGAGGACTTTACTTTTAATGCCACAACCTCTATGTTGTTTAATTTTTTTGCCATGAGAATGTAAAAAAAAAAAAAGACTAAATATTTATAAAGTTAAAAACATATCTGCTATATGTTTAAATATTTCAGATTAGAATCTCTTTACATATAGCTTATTGTAAGCTGCGTGTGTATCATATGGTCACAAAGCATTACATATTTTTTTAAAAGCTGGGATTTATTATTATCCCAGCATCTCACCAAAAGTCGTATAAAGGAGATCTCACATCTAGTAGTTTATTATAAAGATAAAACAGAAGACTATAATATGTATTCATAAATACCGTTTTTAAAGGTTAGGAACACAGTATGTACCTAAGATGAATTGGTGGTTTTTAATGCAAGCTGAACTCAAATGTTCCATTATTCTAATTAGATCATTCCCACTAGGTGGCAGTAAAGATTTAAAATAATAAGGAAGACTCTGGTTGGTTACATTTTTTTAAGTAGAAAATAAACTTTAGAGATGGCTTTTCAATTCTACAGCTGAAGACAGTTGGGTTGAGAGTTTGCACAGCTGTTCGAGGTCTCCCCCTGCACAGAGCTGAGGTCTAGGGAGATGGAAGATGCGGATGGTGAGAACATGGGCTCTGGAGTTAGGGAGATTTGGACACTAACCCGGGTAAACTACTCTCTCTGAACTCTCACTGCTTCACCTGGGAAATGCTGACCTACTTCCTCAATTGCTAAGAGGGGAGAGACCCTGCATGGTAAAGTGCTTTGCATAACACTCAGAACTCTTGGCACAGGTTGGGCATTCAATGTGGTTCCCCTTTTCATCATAGGGGCAGAACTGGGACTAAAAGCCAGGTTTCTCAACTCTAAGTCTTACTGTCCTTACAAGCACACTAACATCCAGATGCCCCAGAGCTCTGAGCCCATCTGAGAGCAACAACAACCTCTCTGGTCATTCTGCACCGAGGGCTGTCGGTGAACCAGGCACCATGTATACTTCACAGTCACTTAGTCCCAGTGCCTGGCAGTCTGGAAGCTTCCGGCTCACAGGTGGTATGCTGTGCTTCTCAGATCCTCCCGCCCTGCCGTGTCCCACGGAGGGCAGACGTCCTGCGGCTGATTTTCATAATGGTTTACAGAGAAGTAGTCACCGAATGCTGAATGCCTAGAGCCAGGCAGCTGGGAAGGCTGGGCTGGAAGAAGAGGCTGCGATGAGCCTCTGCACCCCAAACCTTAAGACATAAATCAAGCAAGTCAGCCAAGACCACCTCCTAAGAAGGAGAATACTGGCCACTCCGCTGATGCAAAGGATTGTGGTGCATTCCTCTCTGGACAAAACCAACCATCTTCTCCGCTTAAGCCTGATGTCATGGGGGCGGGGGGAATGGGAGGAGATGCAGGGACAAGGAGATTCGTGCTGGATTGTTCACCCCTCCACGCTCGTTCCAACGAGGCTCCTTTATAAGAACAACACGTCCTGCTCTCGATCCGCATGCTTTTCAGCTGTTGAGAAAATTGTTTCCACATCCCCGAAGCAGCTGCTGATAAATATAGAAAGCGGGCGATTGGCGCGGGAATTCGGCCCAAGTCAGGAATAGGTGAGTACGGGGCAGCGTCAAGGAAACCAAACCCTCTAGCCACTCGCCAGTATCCTATCAAGGACGAATCATCACCAGATGTGAGGAAAGAAAAACCCAACCGCAGCCTTGAACACATCGTCGCTGCCAGCCTTTCATTCTCGACACCAGGAGCCAAGAGCAAAGCAGGGACTCGGCTGCTCACGGCCAAGTTAAACCGGCAGCCAAGGCCGCACCTGGGTCCACGTTCCTGTCATTTCGTACATAGGGATCCTGCCAGTCTCCTGGCTCCTTTAACGTATCTTTTGTTTGTTTGTTTGTTTGTTTTGTTTTGTTTGTACATAGGCCATGGACACCTGGGCTGCAAAAGTATTTAAATTGAAGGACATGACAAGTGGCCTCAGGAAGGAAGCTGTCAGCTGGGCGGCACTTAAGCCCGAATACCTCTGTTCTGTCCACCCTCCTAGACTTTCCCCTTGGGGCAGAGTGAGGGCCAGAGGAATGTCTTATTTGATGAAGCTGCCCTGTGTGGAGAAGGAGGACACGGAGCTCTAGAAAAGGGGACAGTGTGGCTACCAAATTCCCATTCATCCCCCCCCCCTCCCCCCGCCCAGGCCCTTGTGCTCCGTCACCCCTAGTTCCGAAATGAAGGTGGAAACCGCCGTTCGGAGGAAAAGTCTCCTCCCATATCTGGATCAAAGCTACCAGAATACGGAAGGAGACTTTTCCTAGTGTCTGGGAATTTGGGGCTACAAACTTAGAGCTGGAGGTGGTGATACACAGTCCATCTGCCAAGGAAGGGTGCTAGGCATGTCCCTGCCAGAAGGACCAGGATAGCAGAATCCACCTGAGGCTCTCCACCCCTATTACCTCTGCAGCCAGACATTCAAAAAGGAATAGAGGAGAGTCCGCAGGGAGCCGTCCACACTGCAGGAGTGAGGTGGGGTCCCCTCCCCGCTGCTGTTAAGGGATCAGAGGACACTGAGAGAAGAGGAGACGGGCCTCCCGCCTCCTACCAAGATGTCTACTAAGGGGGACGCTCAGGCCCCAGGGTTGTGATGGGATCCCAGAGGAGCTTGGTGTTAAGTTCTTGGGATGGGTAGACTGGGGTGTCCTGGAGTTGGAAGCCTTCAGGAACAGCAAGTCTGGAGCCTGTGGAATCTGGGCAATCTGAAAGGCAGGAAGCCTGCTGGAGCGCCCCCTGCTGGCAGGCCACGGAGAAGACAGAGTGGCAGTGGTGTGGGTGTCCACTGTCTGGCTCACTGGGGATGCCTGTGCGTCCTGTGGCTGGTACCCACCCCGAGCATCCTGAACACACACCCGAGAAAGCTGCCTGGCAGGGCTGGGGACCTCATTAG